TGAAGAACCTGTTAGGCGTTTAATTCTTGAAACTTTTGCTCGTGATGGAAGAATAAGTCATTTATTCAGAATTTTATCCTATTTTCCAAGTTTTATGGAAAAATATCAAGCTTCTTTTCGTAAGATTGTTGAAGATGTTATTGGTCCTGTAAAAGTTGATGAACGTTTATATATTGGAATAATGGTATTTATTATTATTATTATTATTATTATTATTATTATTATTATTATTAAGTTAATGGTTTATTTTGTTTTTTATGATTTATGATTTTATTTTTATCCTTTATTTCATTTTATTTTTATCATTTATTTCATTTTATTTTTATCATTTATTTCATTTAATTTCTTTATTATTTTTTTTTAAAACAGGCTGCATCCCAACACAAATGTCAATACCTTGTATCATTATTCAAACATCATTTTATAAATCAAAATGGAGATGCACGATGGCTTGATGGATTACAATACGCCTCAGAAAAAATAAAAAGTTTAGCTAGATTGAATATAATTTTGGCACATAAACCATGGGATCTTAGACCAAGTCATATAGATGATCTTATAAAAGGAGCAAATAATCCTAATGGTTATTGGAAAAGATCAGATGTTATTCATGTTATTTTAGTTATGGCAACTTTTCATAGTTTAAGTAGTTTCGTAATGGGATGTGGTATAGTTCCAGAATATGATACAAAAGGTGGAAATTATATACCATCAGTATTAACACCAAATTTATTTGGATATGATGATTCGGAATCTTCTTTTGGAATTTTGGATTTTGATGAAAAAATTCGTCCTGATATGGCTGCTGGTTTAGGTGTAATTATACCTGATTCACCGGCTAAAACTTCTTCTGACTTAAATAATAATGATGATCATTCATTATCTAATCAACTTAATGAGTCGTCCTCTGTTACCTCGGTTGATGATGATCAATGTACTTTAAATACTAGTCAATTGATTGAAAGGTTGAAATGTAAACGCGAAGCTTCTGATCTTGATAATGAAAACACCGAAAATGAAGAAAGTTAGTCACTTCTTTTATATGCTTTTATATGCAATATATCTGTTACTTGTTTTTTATATATATATGTTAATATCTTTTTCAATATCTATCAATATCTATTAATATTTGACACATCTTTTTTATAATAGCGCCTGAGCACGATTCGTCAAACGTTACTACCGCGTTCTTATCACGTGATAAGACGGAAACAACAACCAATTTCATGAAAAAAACCATCACAACACCGCTTCC